CTATATCAGCATCTGAGTGGCTTTTTCACCATTACACAGTTAATCCTACAACGGGAGAAATGGCATGTTGCCTGAGCGATAAGGTAGCGTCCTTCGTCAACAGCGAATTTCGAGTCTATTTGGTGGACGACTTTGGCTCTTTGATGAATCTCCTGTATCAGTTGTCGAAGCTGGAAAGAATTGCTTGTAATGGTAAGCCTACGGCAATGGCCGTAGACTTCGAGGGCCTCAACTTGTCGAGGGACGGAGCGATGAGTTTAGCTCAGTTGTGTCTGTCGTCGGACCCAAGGAGTGTTTATGTAGTGGATATTACTAGGCTGGGCTTCCACGCCTTCCATGCTACTACTCATACTGGCACATCACTGAAGTCTATTATGGAAGACTCTCGAATAGAGAAGGTCTTCTATGACCCTCGCAATGACGTTGATGCTCTCTACTACCAATTCAATGTGGCCCCTCAGAATGTTTTCGATCTCCAGTTGGCTGAGGTAGCCCTACGACGAGCACGAGGGCTCACTGTACGCTATGTCATTGGCCTCTTCAAATGCCTCATTGCTCAGCCTGAACTTTTCACTCAGCCGGCTATGAAGGATTTTGCTCGGAGGATCAACGATGCTGGAAAGGCCCTTTATGAACCTACGCATGGTGGTAGCTTTAAGGTGTTCACTCAACGACCACTGCATACCAGCATTATCGTATATGCATCTCATGATGTTCGCTATCTACTACCTTTGAAAGACTTGTTTACTAAACGACTGCGTGAGGCCGGTGGTGACCTCTACGACAGAGTATGTAAGGTTAGTACTGAGAGAGCTCAGTGGTATAAGAATGTCGAGTACGTTAAGCCCACTTCAGAAGCGCCGGAAATATAGATATCGCAGCAGTGTGATAACCTCGTCAGCATCTGGTCATAATTACCCCTTGGGCCTATCCTCAGCACGTACCTCCTGAAAGGTCGATTAGAATTCTGATCCTACAGTTTGACTTCCTCTGTAATACTTCAATTTCTGCACCGAACTGTAGGGAGAGTTTTCTAAGGGAGTTGCCACCACGGCCTGTCTTTGCTATTTTTGCGTTAACTTCAGAAAGACGTCACTTCGGTTTACGGCAAACGAGGTCGAGCAACGATGTTTTCAATGGCGACTCTATACTGGCTTCTATTTGGTCTGTATCTTGGCGGTGCTCAGAAGCTTGGCCGTCTATGAATAGATCTATCCTTATCGCATTGTTGTAACATATCATTGACGAGGCCGCGAGGTCCAGTATTTCTCTGGGACGGTTTGCTGTTCGTATGCAGTAGGATGCGGATGATGAGTATGAGAAGAAGCAGATGCAGCCATTATGCTATCATTTATTTCCTCTACGTAGTCAGTAGCTATTACAGCAGTGTCGCGTTAGATCATTCATGCATGGACTTGCCTGCCGTATGCAGTTTCATGTCGACACGGGATTATGACTTTCCTATTGTAATTCCCATCCTGAAGGACTGTTCGACAATATCGGCACCGACGAGCTCATCCGAGAGGTACTCGTCACAGCAGCACCAGCAGGCCCGGGGGTCATCTGGACCTTCGTCGCTGGCAGCGGCTCAGCTATGCTCGATAGCGCCATTCACGAACGAATGTTATTATTCAATGGAGACTGCACGGACCACAGAAAAGGTTGGTGCTAATTCGGGTCATTCAGAATCGACTGAGGCAACAGCGACAGAGTCATCGAGTCGGGTGGTAGTGGAGAATCGGCTGGACGGAGAGTCCTACGATGGGCTCCTTTCTGTGACCATCGGAGAGTGCCTCAGAATGCATCTCGAGCCGGCGGAATTGGATGATGTCCCGCAGTCTTTGGAGGACCATGGTCCGCTAGAAGAGCTATTACTCAGTTGTTACTGTGCGGACCCGGACGCTTACCTCAACACGGTGGATCCGACTTGCAATGTGCAGTTGTCTGAGCAAGAGAAGGCGTTGGTGGAGGCGGAGGTTCGGGATATATTCGCGAAGTTCGTATTTACATGTATGAGGGCTGTTGACCAGTGGGTACCGGTATATGGTAATAGGAGGCAACCCGAGATGGTGGGGTTAGTGAATCATAGGGAAATGTGCTACCATTTCTTTATGAGCTTTTTCCACCAAATATCGGTGACTTCACCACAGACTCCGGGGGCACTACCGTCACCACAACAAGTCTGTTCTACCTTCCTCATACAGAAGGTAGTCGTATGGATGCTATCTCATGCTATGGAGGAGATCCGCGTCCTCCTCGAGTATCCCGGGGCCCGTACTGCTCGGTTCACTGACGGTTTACAGGCTATATGCACTAACAGTGCTGAAGACGCCTGGAATAAGTACATAGCAGCTGGTGTCGTCCAGGGCAAGAGGATCTCAGTGGCAATGCCATTGACTCCAGCAACGGAGGAGGAAAGACTCTATCAGCATTTGAGTGGCTTCTATCATCACTATGTGGTGGACTCGACTACAGGCGAGCTTGGCTGCTGTCTGAACGATAAGGAGGAGGATTTCCTATATGCTGAGTTCAGAGTTTACTCTGTTGATGATTTCGGCTCTCTGATGAATTTGCTTTGCCAGTTATCGGACTTGGGCGAGGCGGCTGAGGCTGGGGAGCAGGCCGCGATGGCCGTAGACTTCGAGGGCCTCAACTTGTCGAGGGACGGAGCGATGAGTTTAGCTCAGCTGTGTCTGTCGTCGGACCCAAGGAGTGTTTATGTAGTTGATATTACTAGGCTGGGCTTCCACGCCTCCCATGCTACTACTCATACCGGCACATCACTGAAGTCTATTATGGAAGACTCTCGAATAGAGAAGGTCTTCTATGACCCTCGCAATGACGTTGATGCTCTCTACTACCAATTCAATGTGGCCCCTCAGAATGTTTTCGATCTCCAGTTGGCTGAGGTGGCCCTACGACGAGCACGAGGGCTCACTGTACGCTATGTCATTGGCCTCTTCAAATGCCTCGTTCAATCCGAAGTGTTTGTCCAGCCGGGGCTTCGGGAATTTGCCATGTGGATAAACGACATCGGAAAGGCCTTGTTTGAACCCAAGCATGGTGGCAGCTATAAAGTGTTCACTGAACGCCCCTTGCATCCAGGCATCATCGTCTATGCCTCACACGACGTTCGCTATCTCTTGCCCCTATACGATGCTTTCACCAAGCAGTTGAAGTGTGCTGGTGATAACTGGTATAATAGGGTAGTGGCAGCAAGTGGTCGTCGGGCTGAATGGTACCAACATTCTGACTATCTAATCGCGACATCGGAG